TGGTGCCAAGCTGATGATAAAGGCACTGAGAGGATGTCTGCTTCTACAAAAACTGTCAAGACCCAAGTCTTGTTCGTTTGAACTGCGTATATCAATATCATTACCTAGCACATTTGATGGCCGCCGGAGTGTCGACTTCAATTTTGTCAGGAAGGTTCATCTTGCAAAGTCGGGAGGGAAGTCACCGGTCAGCGACAGAACACCAGTGCCGTCGCTTGGCGTCGGGAATAACCAATAATGCACTAACACAACCACAGCCTTTCCCCACCCAGAGCTGCTAGTGCCCTACCCACCGTCAGCTCCTTCCCCAACTACAGCGATGACTTCATCACTGCGGGAAGAGGCGCCTTGACCAATGGGAAGCTTCCAAATCTGAAGCTCATCTAGGACCGCAATTAGCATGACAGTCCATCCCGGAGCAATTGGTCCTTTCGATTGGCTGTCATTGGCCTGGGGAGCATTGAACCCTTTGAGACGTGTAATCGAGATATCTATGACGTCCGTGGACAAGTGACGATGCTAATCGAGATCACACCGTGTTTATAAAGTAGCCATCTCTCACAACAAACTTGGTGCACCACAATTCGAATCATCTTCCCAACTTCCAAGCATTCTCAATTGTCTTGCACAACAACTCGAAGTAAAACAACCTGGAACGCAGAACCATCGCCACGATGTTTCGCCTCAGAGTCGCACCATCGACCCTCGCCCGGTCGAACAACACGCTCCTCAAACCTCACACTCTCCCCAGACCGTTTATCACCGGCCTCCCCGTTGCAACAGCCAGACGGTTCGACTCAACCACAACTCAGCCCAAGATCTCAGACAGAATCAAGCACGACCATAAAGAGCTCGAAGACTGCTACAACGCCATCATCACATCCAAAGACCCAGCCCAACAAGTCCGCTTCCAGAACCTCTTCGTCTGGGAGCTAGCTCGCCACTCCATCGCCGAGGAGATCGTCGTCTACCCTGCCTTTGAGAAGTACATCCCCGACGGCAAGCTCATGGCGGACAAAGACAGAGCCGAGCATCTCGAAGTCAAGGAACTGCTTTACGATTTCCAGAACATGACGCCCGAGGATCCAGCATTCATCACCACGCTACAGAGCCTGTGGTCGAGTCTGAGCAAGCACATCAAGGAGGAAGAGAGACAAGATCTGCCCGCGCTGGAGAAGCACATTGACAGTGACGTGTCGATGAGCATGGCGAACAGCTTCCAGAAGACGAAGCATTTCGTTCCGACACGGAGTCACCCGAGTGCGCCGGATAAGCCCCCTTATGAGACGGCTGTGGGATTGTTGACCACCCCGATGGACAAGTTGATGGATATGTTCAAGACGTTTCCTAAGGACGAGGAGAGACCCAATCCTCCCGGGGCTCGGCCTCCAGCTTGAGGGTGCATAGGAATGGTGTGTCGCCGCCTGATGGGGAATGGATTGGTGTGAGTGTATCACTGTATTGTTAATGCTGAATGCATTGAGGTACCTCGGCAAGCTCGGGTAGTTTTGTACATATTTCTTAGGCTATCAGATCCACAATAGCCATCCGTCCTATGAATTGACGAAATTCTGAGTTCAGTTGTTTCAATCATGATTCAACACAAGGCATGTCCTCTTTGTTTTGCTATCAACCAGAGTTGTTAAATGATCATATGGGAGCCCCGAAGATCAAGGAAGATGTCGACAGATTATCCACCAAGACAAGAACTCAATGTCAGGAGCTCACCTACGACACCCCTGTGACAAGAATCAAGTGTCAGATTCATGAGCAAACAAGACGAGGTTTAATGATACAAGACATTATAATTTATATCTAACAATGTTGTGTTCGTTAAGGACAGACAATTACCCAACTCCGAGACAGACCCATAAGCAAATCAAAGCGCCGATGAATATGTTCCAGTATCCTAATCCATGCATGTATGTATCCATTCATTCATCCATTCGCCCATGCCAGTCTCAGTTCGACCTCACTCCATCAATGGAGCAAGTCTCAAACAGAGCACAAGTCCAGTCCCATTTAGAGGTTGGCAGGCGCATAGCTCTTGTCGGGAGAAACGGCCTTGCCATTGACAATCTCGGCATCAGAGTACGAAGGCCAGACAATGAGCTTCTTGGAAAAATCGACCACGCTGAGGGTGGTGAAGCCGTTGCCCGGGCCGAACTGGCCGGACCAGCCGCTGCCGACCTTGAAGGGGCCGCAGGTGACGTTGTCGATGGGGGCCTGGCTCGCGGGGGTTGCGCCTGTCTTCTTGAGGGTGAAGTTGCAGGCTGTGACGGGGGCCCCGGCGATCTTGGTGTCGACCGAGAACTTGACTGCGCAGGAGAGGTCGGACTTGTCGCAGGTTCTGGTGTAGGACTTGATTGTCCATTGGGGGACGGCTGCCATGGCCGAGACGGCGCCGACTGCTGGGGCTGCGAGAGCACCGCTGGCTGAGAGGAGGGTCATGAAGATTGTTGAGGCGTGCATTTTGATGGTTTGGTTTGGTTGTGGTTATTAAGATTGATGTTGCAAGTAAAGCGAGTGTTTATTAGAGGACAGTAGTTCTTGAGATGTGAAGATGCTGTGTGATAATGATGGAAGAATTTGATGGTCGAAAGGGGAGGATGTTGAGCTCCTTATATATCTCATGATTTGACCAAGTATATGGATATCCATCACCGCTCATGATGATCTTGTGTCATTCCCTGTCTAGGCTGCTGTCATCAATCATTGCATGTCTGACAAAAAAGTCACGATCATCACGAACAGGCACGTTGCAGACGGCTGTGACTTGCCATGTGCTGTAGCATCGGCTATTCCAAACTTCTCCAGTTCTAGCCCAACCACCCGTACTCGGGGTGCACAAAGCACTGTACGGATCTTGGGCAGTGAAAAGAGCCGAAACCCGTCCGGGGAATACGAACAAGCGGGTTAGGGTTAGGTATGGGGAGTCTTCTTGCATCCCGGCTCTCGACAGGCGAGACCGTCAGGATTACGGTCAGGTGGGCGAGATTCCTTCCACTATACGAGGATTTAGGTTGGGGGAAAATAGTGTCAGGCGTCCCCGGCATATGGATGGAGCCCTAGTCCAAAACCTGCAGATACGAAGAATCTCAGCGAGTCGCTCGGCTAATACACCCGTATTGTGCACTGCCTCCACTACACTGTGCAAGCGGCTGCACCAAGCTGTCAGTTGCCGTGTCAATCTGTCAATTGGCCATTGTCAGATCGTTGGACAAGGAGGCAGGACATTATGTCAGATTTTTAATCTAGCGACTTCGTTAATAGCAATGATTGCCGGACAGGGAAAGCAGCACGTCTGGGAAGACGCTGAGTGCTGACCGACCAACAGCGTCCTTACCGGTTGAAGTAGGTGCCATTATTTCGTAAATCCTTTCAGAACCCCGATTTCTATAATTACAACTATAAGTCAGGTGCGATATAAGTGGTTTACCGCCATTCCTTCGCGGCTCTTTACACCTCTGCCGGGGTTTTTTTTGTTAGATCGGTACAAAGCACTACAATAAACCAGGGTCTTAGAGCAGACAAAGTTATCAGTATTCTGTAGGATTCTCGTGGCGTTCTTGGTGTGATTTTGGTAGTAACCCCCTGGCAAAGTCACTCGAACTAACAAAATTTACCCCTGCAGAGGTGTAAAGCACATAAAAACAAGCACTGAAAGTTGGGGTCCGAAGTATTGTAACGGTTTCGGTCTGCGGATGCCGAATGATCCTTGCCAGGGTTACTTTGAGCTATGGTATTCAGATCTCTTGACCACTTATATCGTGCTTCCTTCGTATTGTCAGCTTAAACGTCACAAGTTTATCGATGATCTTGCCCAATCCACCTGTTTCTTGGCGACGGCTCCATACTGTGCGGAACGGGTTCTCAAATGCTTCAACGGGCAAGCTCGGCATGGTATGCCGGACTTGAACCGGGGAGCTGAATCTTACTCGTGTGTGCGGCGATTGAGTTATAGAGTATATGACTAAGAACAATGAAGATCAGCGGCTCTTGGCCTACGTCCTGGTGCCACAAGTAGGAGGCGGTGCCATTGATACTGTAGTCAACAACTTGCCACCGGTCTTGGTGAGATTAGGGGCTGGCGGATGACTTTAATATGAACCAAAGACACAATCGTTTGAGACTGAGTTTTTCCATCTCACTTAATCTCATTTTCCTTTGTAGATGTCTGATAGTCTGCTTGCACCACTAGCGATTTAGACCGAGGAATTTTGCGGCTGCCTGCCTGGAACCTAGCATCCACCACGGCTGAAGACATGGTGGAAGACTTTTTGCCGGCGGCCGCTTGCATAAGTTGCAGTTCAGCTGCTGATGGTCTAAGGGCTGCTTCATTCCAGGATATGCCCTCGTCTCACTTGAATGTTTGGGACTTTATCATGGAGTTGTGATGGTAAGGATGCGCTGATTAACCGGTGAAGCGACCGGCAACCTAATGCTCGGGACTTTCGGCTGCCTGCCGTGAAGCTTTCCTGACTACCCACATGGCATACAGTCATACTAACTATACTTCCTCTCAAGTGGTCCGGGGCAAAATTGTGATGGCATATGTTATGGCAACGGGAGAAAGGCCTTGATAGCCCGTGTCGCTAATCTTCCAATGCAAACCATATTTCTGTTGGTTAAGCTCGATCCGCCCGGATGATGTAAAAATTGAGCATTACACAGGAAGAGCAGTGTCTTGTGTAACTGTCTTTGACAAGCCAGGCCTCAAACAGAAGCAAAATTGTGTCGAATAAGTTCCAGCGAGCTTCCTTGGAATCTCAGCAGAAGAGCCCGCTGAGCCCATGTCTCGGTCTTCACAACCCAAATCAGTCGATGATGAAACCGGATACCTACAAGACCCCAACAATGATCGAGGCATCCAGAACATGTACTTTGGGTTCAAGCTGAGCTTGAGCAGTCACCTTGAAGATTAAACCGAGCCAACTCACATCCCACGCGGGGCAATAAGAACACCAAAAATACAAAACAAAAGAAAAGGCTGATAGTCCTGCGCGATCCGAGATTCGAACTCGGGTCCCTTGCTTGTTATACAGAGCGAATTGTATGGGAAGCAAGAATTCTAACCACTGAACTAACCGCGCCTGCGCTGAACGATATCATCTGGTGGATCTCCCAACACTCATACAGACATGTCATGTGAATGTCCGGTAACGTTATACCGCTCTATTAGATAGAGTTCCGAAGAAAATCTTTGCCAAGACAGGAAATTAGTACTTTTACAAGTTTGTATGGCTTGAAATAAGTTCATAATGTAATACATTTTCTGGTTCACCGATTCTAGACGTATACAAATTGCGATCAAGATCTGGGAGCAGATGGTTGATGGGAGCAACCCTAACCCTGCTGTCAACGGCGCAGCCTGTATGCAGGGCGGAGCTCTCCGCTGAAGTATTAGCGCGTCTGCAGGAGGTCTGGACCTTCGATTTGCAGCCATCGACTTTGGACAACTGGATCAAGAATCATTCCGGTATTTTGTCGAAAACAAGATACTAGGGGAAAACATTTTCCCAGAATCCCAGAATCCCATATTTCCAAATCCTTACAAACCGGGAAAATCCGGTCTCAAATGACAGCTGGTGAAAAGGATGAGTCCTGGTGGGAGATGGTGCCAGAATCCTGGGGGAATCATCCGTTCGGATCGTCCCGGTGGGGGCTGAAGGTGCCAATTGGAGAACCCCTCAAAAGGAGCACTAACGCTACTTCACCACCCTCCCACCTCTATCTGTTAATGCACGTTGCTCTTGGCACCTATCGATAACGCCTGAAGCCCAGAAGCCCAGCAAAGCTGTCAAGACCGCCACACCGAGTCGCACCACTTTCCCATCCCTTCTGGTGCAGCTGGCGAGGACATCGGACGATCCGTGGTCCAACATGGTGCCAGCCAGGGCCCGATCGAGATGACCCTATTCCGGGCATTGCTGTCGCCTGCAATCAATTGGACCCGATGGCTTGGAATTTGAAGGTGTCTGGGATTTATTAAATAGCGATTGTGTCCCGGTTTTGAGGATCACAAAATTTCTGTATACAGCAAAAAGAGCAGACAGCATCAATAGAATTGTTGCACAGCAACGAGAACAAACATCACCTCCTGAACCCCTTTTTGATACTTGCTTGGCAAACCTCACCACCGCCAACATCACCAACAAAGCAACCGTCACTGTTCAACTCACCAAAGTCGCACAAGAACTTTCCCATACATCTACACATCCATAAAACGCATTTATACCGAAAAACAAAATGGCATCAGGAGCATTCCGCACAACCCTTCGCCGCCTCGCAGCAGTCTCCCACCAATCACCAGTCGTCAAATCAACAGCTTCCAGCTCTCTTTCCAAAACTGTCTCGAACAAGATAATCCCCGGAGTCGTCGTCTTCGGATCTGGTAAGTCAATTTCATACCCCCTTTCAACCCCCTTTCTTCCTCCCAATGCTAACCAATGCATGATAAAGTCTTTGGCGTTGTCTCCTACGTGCGCTCCCAGCTCCGCCAAGAATCGGAAACAATGAACCGCATGTTTGCCAAGCAGTACTCACCCGAGGTGATGGAGGCCCGGAGGCGGAACTACCTCATCGACCAGGAGGGAGATCCTCGCAAGAGTATTTATAATGTTTTGAACTGGGGGCGGTCATGATTTCTTTGCCTTGCACATTTCAGCACGCATCAATCTTTTGTTTTTTTTCTCTTCACCGGTTGGGGCGTTCTTGTCTTTATTGAGAATGGTGTTAGAGATTAGGAGAGCGAGTTATTCGTTATATACCTGCTGGCACGTTTGTACATATTTTGCTTTCAATTATACATAATAATCCGTTTCGGTCATCAAGTTTCTCATTGTTGTTATCAAATAAAAGTCAGCTCGGTCACGACCTAGCTCATAGCCCATCAACGCAAAATGAGCAGGCCCGTTGAATGAGCAACTTACATCCATGCATCGTAATTCATACCTAAAGCTACTTGGTTGGCTCGGGAGCGTTCGCATTGGCCCCCTACTTCGTAAGCGCCTGGTTTCTCCCGTCGCTTGCGCTATCTGCGCGGCCCATGTCCGGTTGTCGGCCCGGAAGCTTTCGTACGAACCGCCCTGTTTAATCCTCGGCGTCGGAGAACCAGCCTTCATCCGTCTGTCATCGCTGCCTCTCGATGCCGCGCCCGAAGGTTGCGGTACCGAGTAGTCTTCAATCCTTCGTCTCACAGATCACCTGGGTATTTTCCGGAAGCCCTCTGCGCTCGCTCACAGTCTTGTCCCACACCTCGGGTCTCTCGATCAGGATCCACGCAATGATTTCTTTCACGATGCCCCAGAGGTTGCAACCGTTGCTGCTGACGTTCTTCGTTCCGCCCTAGGGGGCCAATGCGAACGCTCCCGAGCCAGCCAAGTATGCTATACCGACAAACCCCCTTCCACAAACTTCCTCAAGACGCTCCTAGAGGTTCTAGTATCCACGAAGCTCAAGTCTCTGTGGGGAGTCTATGTACTGGTCTTGGATAAGCCAGATGAGAAGTCCCGTGTCTAAATTGGATCCGCAACCTTGGAAGCATACGGCATTCATAGAAGAAACGAGCAACGGAACGGGGGGTGCAAAAATGTATGCCGGCAAGCTTGCCGGATAACACACAGCACCCATATTGAGATTCGAAGTATTGACCATTCAACAAGGACGATCTAGGAACCCAGCAACCATCGGTACTTTGTTCCATCAGACCCGCATCTAACGGTGCATATGAGAAAATCCAACGAACACTCGTATGAGGGACACCTCTTCATTAAATACAGCAAGCAGGTCGATAGAAAGAATGGGCAAAAAGGTTCCGAGGCGTCTCGCCAGAAGACGCCGATCTCGCCGACCGTGGTGCTGACAAGCGCGGGGGCAGCGGTCGTCTGCTTGGTCTTGGCTTTGGCGGCGAAGCTTTAGCAACAGCTGCGGCGGATCTTCTCGCACTCGCCCTTATTCAAGTTCTTGGTAACACAGGCCTGGCTCCTCTTGCTGTGGCGGGTGCTCTTGTCCTGGGAGGACTTGTTGTTGGTGGTGGTCTTCATCTTGTTCAAAGTCTTCCTGTCTTCGTCAGGTCGGGATCTACCTTTAGCGTCGATTGAGATGTGTTGATGCGGGTGTCACGAATCAACGTAAGTTGAGCGCCTTGGCTGCAAATAGTCAATTGTATTACTGTTAGACTGCGTTAAGGAGGAATGAATCTAAGAATCGGCTAGCCAGCACTCGAGTGGTTGAAGTAGCCAAACCACGTATGCCAAGCCGCTAGTCGGCTTATCGGCTTATCGGAGCGCGCCGCCATTACCCCACTATTGCAGTGTCAATGCCCCGCCATCTGCAGTGCCGTCACGTCACAGCCGTCACAGCGGGAGTGTATGATAGGTGTGGTGCTTGATAATGGTAGGCGTGCACAAAAAGTCTGAAAGACATATTGAAATAACTGCGTACGAGTTGGAGAGAGAAGAGAGAAACAGTATCTAGGAGAGGAGAAGCCATTTTGAATTTTTGAATCGACAGTGTAGGACCGCCAGTCAACTCTCAAAATAATCCCACAGTTTAGATAACAATCTGACTCTTGACCGATTTTGAAGAGAACTATAGGAATGACTGAAAACCCCTTGCTATTGTGCAAAATGGGTGGGTTTCAGTTGAAGCTTTTCATCTGAAATACTTTAGACGTTCGACCGGCATACGTGGCTGTGAAGTAAGGGCCGCCCAGGGAGGTTGTCACCGCCCATAAAAAGAGTGTGATCGCATCAAAGTCGATGACTAACCCAGCCTCTGTTGGGTATTCGTTGATGGGAGGGGCGGCCAGTTCCGGCTTGCCGTGTGGTGACTGGCACGGCGACGAGCCCAGCTGCTCTTCCGAAGGAGTGCTGACCGCGGGAGGGTCGTGAGCGAAAATGGGCCTGCCAATCCTAATTTCGGCCTCCTTCAGCGCAAAGTCGACAAAACTGATAATCACATCCGGGATTACCACAGCTGGAGTTTATAAGTAATAACAATTGTCGCTGGTGCAATGAAGAAGGCGTTCTTCTTCTGGCACTGCATTGATCGCATCCCGAAGACGATGCAATGAAATAGGTATATTGCTGAACTGGAGACCCTGGGTTCTGCAGTCCGGCAACATTGCCCTACGCCAGTAGAGTGGTAAGGGCGTCTGTTAACACCTGTGGCAGATGGGATGATTGGCATCACAGGTGCATCGAGCGTGGCGGCGGCCCTCCTGCGTCGACGGAAACGGCGGCGGCGCCCTCGTCGGGCGGGAAGAAGATTGCACGAATCGCGGAACCGGCGGCGGGGGCATGGTGGCAGAGGTTGCGATAGAGCAGTTCCGCATCGATGTGCTGCGGGAGGATTCTGTGATGTGCAATGAGTTCTATGGCGTTAGGAACGAGATGGATGAATGAAAGAGACAGGCTTATATTTGACTCGTCAGGGGCGGGCGAGGAAAGGCCACGGGGTGTTGGGGTGGTGGACCTACCATTAGTTGGGGTCTCCATGGCGCGAGGAATTCTGGAAGGGGGGAGATCGTGATCTGTGGGGGCTGAGTCCAAGACGGATCGATCCTTCAAAAACCAATCGACCAACGAGTCTCGCCGACGGACCTGACCTGCACCGGCGCCCTTAACGGACTCAGAGCCAAGCAAAAGCCAACCGCAACAGCTGCGAGACACACCCTCCCAAGACCAGCCCCCTCCGAAAGCACGTCGCGGTGTTCTCCGCCGTGCCCGGTGAGGCGGCTATCGTTACGGCGTATCTCCAAAGGTACCACAGCTCCAACTAGAATGTTATCCTCGTCAAGTTCTTCGACAGTGGTATAGCAGCGGCTGAAAATCTCAAGTTAAGATCGTGGATATAAAGTGAAGTAAGTGTTGAAGCCTCCTCTCTTCTAGACGATTCAGCGTATCAAGCAAATTAGAATCGGTCATCAAGAGGATATGCTATAGTTTGTTGTAGCAACATAGGATACATCTCGCCTCAAGACCAACAGTAAAGAAAAGGTCAAAAAGCCGTTCGGATAAGCTCATCACTTATATCAGAGGCTCAAAAAGAAATTGTGTTGCCAAATTGGAACGCCACAACCTAAACGTTA